CCAAGACCTGGAGCACTTCTGCAGTACCCTTAAAGGAATCCCCCAAAAATAGAACAGTACCCTTAAAGGGAGCCCTGCGATAGAACCCCATTGTACCCTCAGGGTTGAGGGTTTTATAGGGGCCTGAGCTGCGAAAAGTAGGATTCCGAAACGGGTTACTATGTGGGGGCCTGAAGACTTACCAATACTATTTTGGGGGGGGTCCTTATTAGAATTACAATATATATGGTGCCCCAAAGCCCTATTCGAATTATTAAGGCCCCTACATGACCATGTGGGTTGCTATTGAGGGCTTCGGGCTTCGTGTTTCGGACTCGCTTTCGGCGTCAGGGTTTCAGGGCTTACGGAGTTCGTCTTGCGCGACCCCGAAATCCGAGACAGGACTTGCCAGCATGCATTCGCCTGGGTATAGTGTAAACCAGTGTAAGCCCTAAACCCTAATATATATATATATATATATATAGAGGGGCCTAAATAATTACCTATACTTTTGTGGGGTTCCTTACTATAGTTATAGTATCATATACCCCCAAAGCCCTATTCTAATTGTTAAGGCCCCTACGTTAAACGTCTTTCAGGAGCTTGAAGGCTTTGCGTCGTAGGAATTCGGCCTCGGTGCCGAGGCCAGAACCGTGCACCCATATCCGACGATGGGAGACTTGGCAGACTTTACTTGTTAGTAGAAGCCCAAAAGTTGGAAACCCAACCCAATAGCCTCAACCCTTAAGAGTAATCGGTTTAGGGTTTAGGGTTTAGGGTTTAGGGTTTAGGGTTTAATGTATAGGGAATCCCAGCACTATTTGTCCTCAATCCGGTTTCCAACTCTTTGGGGTTGACTATAAGCATCAGCTCAACGCCGAAGCCGACACCCTGAAACCCCAAACCCCTAATCCTGGAGGCCCCAAAGCCTTAAAACCTAAAAGCCCGGAGCCCCAAACCCTAAAACCCTCAATCCTAAGCCCCTAAACCCCTGGACCCCCAAACCCCTAAGCCCAGGAGAAGCCATCCAGCAATGTGCCTTGAACTACAACCGGGCCCGTTGGGCGAAGTTGGAGAAGGAGGCTCCGGTGTAGGGTTTAGGGGTTTAGGGTCTATAGGGCTTTTAGGGTTTAAAGGGGTGTAGGGCTCATCGGACAGCTCGCGGCTGTGGTTTGAAATGGTTTACGGTTGAGGGTTGTTCTTCAAGGGGATGGGTTTAGGGCATATGGGTTCAGTGTTTAGGGCCTGTTTAGGGTTGACCCTAAACCCTAAACCCTAAACCCTAAACCCTTGTTCACGAAGGGTTTAGGGGTGAGGCTCTTGGGGCTTAGTGGTTTAAGGGTCCGGGTTTTCGGGTGTGGGTGCGGGGCTCATAAGTCTTGTAATGGTTTAGGGTTTAGGGTTTAGGGTTTAGGGTTTAGGGTTTAGGGTTTAGGGTTTAGGGTTTAGGGTTTAGGGTTTAGGGTTTAGGTTACGGTGAGAGTGTAATTTCATCTGTTGCTCCGTCGTTTTATCAGTCTGGTTGTTATGGAAGCCATGCAAAAACCCTGCCCAACTACAAGCCCAAAAGCCCTAAGTCCTAAACCCTAAGCGCTTAAAAAGTCTGCAGGCCGGCTACAAACAGTGAGCTGTCGGTCCCGGTGAACTTGTTTTGCGCCTCTTTTCGCAGCTCGCGCTTGGTGAGTTGCCTGCATTTGCGTGCCCCTGCATGACCGACACAAGGTCTGCAAAAGAGATCGCAAGTCGTACAGGGCTTTCAAAAGGCGTGCAGGAGTATGATTTGCGGTTTCAGGTTTCGGGACTTCGTTACAGTCGCAATTCTGTACCTGTACGGTGATGGTGTGCATAGTTTGCTGTTGAGTGTGCAAGACCTAGGGCGGAGCCGAAAAACCCAAAAAAGTGCAGACCGGTCACAAAACAAACGCATGAATGGTTACAACTGACCGGAAGGAGGTGGTCACTACTTGGAGGGTCGGGGGACAGCAAGCAGGCAATACGTAGAGTTATAAGTTCCCTAAAACGGATCCTAATTGGGGTTATATACTTGCAACTTTACGAAGTAAATATAGTAAACCCCAGAAAGTTGGAAACCGGGTTAAGGACAAATAGTGCCGGAATTCCCTATGCATTACTTAAGGATTGAGGCATTGGGTTTCCAACTTTTGGGCTTCTACTATACTCCCTATGTCCCCCGACTCTCCAAGTAGCGACCGCAATTCGTTGGTCTGAGTGACGGTGTTGCCTGGAAAAGATTAAAAGAACGAACCTGAATAATTAACAATACTATTTTGGGAGCTCCTTGTTCTCATTATAGTATAATATACCCCCAAAACCTATTCTATTATATAGTATCCAGGCTCCTACATTTTAAACCCTTATCGCAGCCCTTATAGAAGCCTATAAAGGAACCCTTAAAGGAACCTTATTCTAATTGTTCAGGCTCCTACATGATAAGTAGTACCAACACCCAAACCCTAAACCCTAAACCCCTAAACCCCTAAACTAGGCCCTAACCCCTTAACCCCTAAACCCTGAACCCTAAACCCTAAACCCTAAACCACCAAACCCAAAACCCCAAAGCCTAAGCCCTGAACCCTACATTATATCCCTACATTAGGGCTTATTCCAATTGCTAGGCCCCCTAGGTCAGCCTCTTGCACAACCCAGACCCCCAAAAGGATCTAAACAATAGATTTGAGTAGTTAGGGTACTTTATAGGAACGCCTTAATGGATCTATTTTTTAGATCCTTTTGG